TGTCCATAATGTTTTTGTGACCCTTTTATAATAAATAAATATGACATACAATTTTTATAAGTAAGGCTGATTAAAAGTCTTGTGCTACGTCCCTGAACATACGTAAACAGGTAGTATAATATAATGATATAGGCTCAGGTTTGTTATAATTCATCCTGGAACACAAGTGCTCTCCTGCGCCAGACATGCCTTTGCAAAGTAGGGGTTATATATACCCCATGCGTACTTCATACTATGTGTATGCGTAAAAAATAGCGCAATTTTGCTTGGTCTTCGTTCGGTTTGGCGTAGTATGCTATCGTACAGACACTGTGATGTGAGACTCGGTTCTATCCGTTAATGAGTGTTTCGTGGAAGCTGTTATAAATGTGCGAGATTACCGACTGTGTTGAAGATATAATATCTTTGTTTGACACGTTATCACGCATGAAACACGTGTGATAGTGATGGTCATATTAGCTTGACCTGTAGTCAAGAAGACAATAAAGAAAAAAAGGGAAACAAATGCGTAAAAATTAGTGAACTTGTTAGGTCTATGTATCTTCGCGTTCATGACACACCACGCTTCATTGCCCGAAGTTTTCTCGTGATGAGACGTTGATAGGTGAGCATTAGCAGTGGAGAAATAACATGCCAAATAAATAAACAAGGCAGTATTGGTCACTATTTTTTCTTCAAACTTTTGAAAGTTACTACTCATGGGTGGTAACGGCTTGGGCAGTAACACTTACTAAGTGCAACGCGAATGCAACGCGAATCAATGCAACGCGAATCAAAACACGCACTAATATTCTTCGTCAATTTTTATCAGCACAGTTCCGCCAGCAACGCCACATTAAATATTGGTTGATGCATTTGCGGGGAACAAAAAGCATGACTAGTCTCGGCACAACGAGCACTAGTTTTAAGCATGAGTCGAGAAATTACGACGATGCTTGGTTACGCAAATGCGTGAAAAACTGGTTAAACAAAATATACTGTATACACAGAACAGAGAAACGAACTTTATTTCTTTGGTATAGGGGCAAAATGCAGATAAAATACATTTCTAAATGCTGGTGCATCCATAACATTATTCGGGCTTAAGGGGGCCGGAATCACCGTTCAAAGCAGAATGACAATTTTCTATTTAAATGTCTACATAGCCACACTAATGTCCTGTTCCAAAACTTTGTTCCTTACTTCATTCACCTATTATTATACTTGCCGCTTTCTCTTTGTCATCCGCCCGGTGAAGCAGTGGTTGTTGGTCTCGTCTGCGGACCTGAAGGTCGTGGGTTCGATTCGGCTTCCACGGTTACAAGTCGATGGAGGCGAAATGGTAAAAGCCCGTGTACAGTGCGATTCAGTGGACGTTAAAGAACACCAGATAGTCGAAATTCTTGGAACACTCCACCCCGGCGCCTCTCATCGCCATTATATGGTTTTGGGACGTATAAAACCCCAGATATTGTCTTCTTTCTCCCCATGTCTTCTTACCCCAGCGAGGAACAGCAGGCTAGAAAACTGATTTTCAAGCTGACCCCTCCTATATTCTCGCCGTACATCAGCTTCTTCTTCGTCGGCATCATTTATTGTCGTCGTAGGAGTTCAAGGAGATGAAAATCGCGTATTTTTAAGGTCGAAGCCCCTTACAGGCGAACCAGTTATTGTCATCCACGTACGTCACGCTCCATAAAACCGAAACCAGAACTGAACACCTGCACAACGAAAAACGAGATCATTAATGTAAAAAACCGACTCCATGTGTACATCCATCAAGTATATAACAGGACAATAGATGATCCCCTGCGTTGTTCCTTTGTCTGTCGTTCATGCGTGTGATTGTGTATCTGTCCGGCCGCACGGCTATCCGTCAGGCCATGCGTCCTTCCATCCGTCCGTCCATATGTCCGTGCTTAATACTAGTCGGCGACTTTAACGCGTAGACATTATATTCATCAAATGTGTAGCGTGAGCGCCATCTATATCTTTCATCACACTATTACAGTGTGCTAGTGTTCTAGTACACTCTACCCTTGATTGGAGGAGGTCGCGGCTACCTCATCTCCGCTTCATCTAGGCTCACACATTACCTTCCACCAGTTTTCAGTAAAGTTTATTCCTCCGTTCCTCTCTTCCCCGCTAACCACAACATGTTCCCTTATGCAGTGCGTCGTTGAAGAAAAAAATTCACAGCATTTCGACGGAGTGAATATTGATTAGTGGGGCGAAGCGTCCATTCTTTCATCCATCTGTCAGTCTGTCTGTCTACTATACGAAATCGTCAACTATACAAAAACCACCAAAGGCGTCTAGTGATGTTATTTCCAAGGATGAATGGATGGATGTATACGGCTGTGCCCTTTATATCGGGTGGTGGTTCACGCCACCTAGCCATAAAGTTAAGTACTATGACTGTGTGTTAAGGGATTGAACTTCACTCGCGCCTCGATTGTTGCCACCAATCAGTTAGCCTCCTCCTGGTTATTTCTACCCGTTTAAAGTCTATTTTGCCTTCACTGTCCCCAAACCTCAATGCTTTGAAAAATTCGGTGTCATTATCTTCGACTATAGGGCGGAGCCCTTTACAGAGCATTATCAAATGTTCAGCCATTTCCTCCTCCCCTCCACACGCACTACATACCGTGTCTGTGCCTTCGTATTTTGCTCGGTACGTCTTGGTCCGCAGTACTCCCACTCTAGCCTCGAAGAGCAGAGAACTACCCCGAGAATTATTGTTGATCTTGCCCTTGCAATTTCCTGCTTAAAAGTTCGGCAGGTCTCCAGCGATGATTTCGTAAGGATTCCAATCTTCCACATGTCCCTCTCTGTTTCCTTCACCTTCTTCTTAACCGATCTTTCCTTTTGGCTTGGTATTCTGCTGTTGTCTAAATACTTACTTGACAGTTTTCGAGTTCGCTTCCTTCATTTAGTATCAACATGCTTCATGTACAAGTAGCTGAAAACTTTCCTAGCCCAATGCTTTTCTCCCATTTTTCTCAATCGCTCCTCAAATTCTATCTTGTTGCTCGCTTCCCTGCACTCAAACAATGTCCATCCCATGTCACCTGTGCCCCTTATTTGGGGTATTCCCGTGTGCTCCCAAAGCAAGTCTACCTATGCCACGTTGTTTAATTGCCAATCTTGCTTGAACTTCTGATTTCATGCACAAGACTGCATTACCGAACGTCAAACTATGAAACATGACATCTTTCAAAATGACTCTCACAACGTCATACTTACTGTAGTTCTACAGTGCCCTATTTTTCATTACAGCTGCATTCCTGGTGCCTTTGTCATTACGTATCTTTCGTGCTCCCTCAGATACTCAGCCCCGTTATTTATTTGCATACGCCCAAATACTTGTATGTATCCACTATTTCTAGCGTGACTTCCTGTATCTTATGCACACTGCCTTTGTTATAATTAGGAATCATGATTGCCGACTTTCTCGGCTGAGTTTCAAATTTAACATATCTCCCTCACCAGCCTGTAAACTACTGATGTCACTGTTATAGGACCTTAGTTATTTATATCGGCTTTGCCCCCCTTTCCTTTATAGATGTTGCTCATCCTGCTTAGTTTCCACCCATTGGGAGCTTCATCATCCACTATTGCTTTGCCCGCTGCCCACCTTAATGTTTGCTTAGAGTTTGGTCCTAGTTACTTTATTAGCATAATTGGGATGCCGTCAGGGCCCGTAGATGTGCTATTAGGAACCCTTCTCTCTGCCCTTTCCCACTCTCGTTGTCCCAGTGGAGCCACTGAGCTAATTGGTTCATCCTCATCTAGTAAGGTGCAAGCTGCGTTTTCTTGGTGTTACATTTTTTCTGTCGTCATTGTTTTTATATATTCCATTGCCTCATCCCCTCCAAGTCTGAACCTTTGAACCGCAGTTATAAACCTCTGTTTCATGCTTGTCTTTTTACTCAGAGAATTGACATGGTTCCAAACTTGGCAGCTGCCTTTCTATCCTTTTTGTTTACTTCCGCCATCCATTGGGACCCCTTTCTTCTAATTGTTTCACTGATCAAATCGGACGCTTCCCATCTGGAGCTCAAAAAGTTATCCAATTTTCTTTTCACATTCTTCCGGTTCACCCCTCTGTTTAGCATACCTGTGTTCCCTGGAGGCTTCCTGATGTCTTACTGTGGCTCTCTTAGCTTCCTCAGCCCACCAGCTCTTGGTTTTGTGTCTGCTTTTCCTGGTTGATTTTGACTCGTACTTTAGGAAGCCCTAACTCAATCAATCGAGTTAGATTTGTGTACGTCCGCTCTGTTTTAGTATGCTCGGTAATTATTTTCTTAATCTCTTTATTTGCTATTTCTATTTGCCTTTTTGAATTAATATTACCGTGTGGTTTCTCGTAATGTCACCTCTCCACTTTCATTTCTTTTCTAAAACTCAGTGTGATACGTTTGTTATCCCTACCTAAGCTTCTTGACCTATATTCATCTATATCATCACCCTTTGCCGATCATACATTCTATGTGACATTATTGCGTAATCTATCGTCGACTGCAGCCTACCCACCTTCCATGTATTCTGTCCTTCGGATTTCTCGGGGCTGTTGCAAGTGATTAAATCATGCCTTTCACACATATCAATTAGCATTCTGTCTGTTGGGTGAGTATATCCATCCATATCTTCTATGTTCGCGTTCATATCTCCAAGTATGAGTACCTCGCACTCTTTCTCTAGTTCGCCAATGTCATTTTCTATGCACAATTTACGCTTATATTTCTTTTCTGTTTTACGATTGTTAGGCAATTAAAAATTTATAGTGACAACAATAGTTATTTAACTTTTCAGATGACTCAGACAGAGAGTCTGGTTTACTTACAGGGCCCTGTAACGTGTTCCTTTCGGAGAGTTCACAGCGCAATGCATCGACACAAATGTGCCACGTTGAAACTGTGGAAATCGGCGCTCAAGTAGCGCTGGCTGTACCGTCAACCGCTAGTGGGCAAGGTGAACGAAGCTAAGCTTTTCTTGGTTACAGCTCCCTCTGTGAGAAGACAGATTCATTCACAGAACGTTACGGAGTCAGCCTAAATATGTTTTCGATGCTGCTGTCATTATTTTCATTTGTTGTCGTAAGATGTGTCGATGTCCCAGTCGTTCAAAAGTTTGTGATCTTTCTCATGAAAATGAAACTTGGAATTTCTTTCGTGAGCATAGCTGCGCTTTTTGACTTACATCGCGCAGCTGTAATCCGCATCTTTTTTTTTTTTCATGATGACGAATCTTCTGGAATCACTGCATGATTTCCTTTCTGACACATCATTCCTACTGTCAAGGCAACTATGCAGGAATGTTTTAAGGTACATTACCCTGACTGTAGTTTCATCATAGACTGCACTGAAGTTCGAACAGAGGAGCCACATACGGTAAAGCAGAGTATACAGTTATTTTTTTCCACTACAAGGGGTGGTACACACTTAAAGTTTTTAGTTGGAATTTTGCCGAACGGTACAGTGACTTTCGTGTCAGAGGCCTACGGAGGTCGAACTTCAGACACGCACATAACTATGGAATCAGGCTACCTGTACAGGAAGAAGACGAAGTGTCTCTCTGACAGAACGGTGAGTCCTTCCGTTTTTCAATTTTTTTTGTGAAAAACATTGTTTTCACTAGCCAAGTGCGGGGTTCCTGCCGGCGTGCGATGGAGATGGAGTCGCACACGCATCCGCCAGACCCCACGAATCCTGCGTAAGCCGCCTCCAGGTAGCGCAACAGCGCCAAGAGCGGCACTAACAGTGACGATACCATGAACTATTAAGTCAGCAATGAAGAGTCCGGTGACGACACCTTCGAGCTGGTGAGGAACCGCAAGGCTAAGAATGGCTTCTGAGCACGCTATCCAATTCGAGTGCGTGCACCATAAGACCTTCGCGTAGTATCGAGGCGTTCACCGTCCTGCATGTTCATGCCAGTTCTCGCCATGGGCAATTTGAGGTGCCTCAACATGCAAGCCGTGTCTGCACAGCTGGAGGCACTGGTGCCAAACGAAATCAAAGACGTCAGAGTGAACACGCACAAGAATGCTCTAGCCATTGACGTCAACCACGCGGCTGCGCTGGACATATTGCGCAAAGTCACAGAGCTCAATGGCATGGAAGTTCGCTCTCACATACCGCTCGGCAAAGAAGTCATCACTGGAGTAGATGATGTTGACGAGACCATTGTCAACACAGACTTGCTAATCCTGATCAAGCCCGCTACAGAAGACACTATCATCACAAGTGTTTTTCGTCTCGGCACGTCACGTTGCGTGAAGATTATATTCAAGGGAGAAACCCTCCCATCACACTTGAAGGTGGGACGCTTTCGGCACGCTGTTCGTCCCTTCGTACCGAGGCCCCTTCAGTGCAGGAAATGTATGAAGTTGGGTCACGTGAGCAGCATGTGCAAGACCACCACCGTCTGCACCCGATGCACTCAACCTCACGCCATAACAAATGTCAATCCAATACTCGGAAATGTTCGAATTGTGATGGGCCTCAAGATGCGTCTTCGAAGAACTGTCCGATAATTTGAAGAGAAATGGCAGTGCTGAAGAAAATGTTTCGAGATCACTCGTCTCACCGGGAAGCGGTCGCATCTATAGACGACGACGATCGCATCATCGACGGCGCTTCAAGACCTCCAAGACACCATTGCCTCGTGAACCGCGCCCAAAGTCGCCTCCGCTTCTGTCTCACAGAACAAGCGAAATCGGGTCGAAGGATAAAGAAGCCACCAATCGCGACACAGCTGACGCCTGGTTGGAACTCCCTTGACTTCACGCCACTAGAAAGCGCCATCAGACTTCAGCAGTGAAGCACTCCTCGTCTGGTTTCTCTAAACCAACAGAGGAGGATAAACAAATAGTCACCATGATCAGCACCCTCGTGAGTACCATTCATGTGTTCGTGGAGTGGGTGCAAACACCAATAGCAAGAAGTGCGCTGCAGCTGCTGGATACGATCAGCCCGGTTCCAGCAAGCCTTCAGAAGTCAATTGCTGGACTCTCGCTTGCTGGATTCCATGCCGACCGGTTGCGCCCTTGCTATCTCCGGCGTCAGCGTAGCTCTGGCTGACTGGGCTCGCCCTACGTCATCTTCTGACGCCGACGACCTTCGACGACAGCGTAGCTCTGGCCGACTGGACTTGATCTACGCCATCTACTGACGCCGACAAGAGCTCTTGCAAGAGGTGCCCCGGCCTCGGACTCCTGTGACCATGTTTCCATCTTTCCTATCCCCTCAATATGTCGTCGCTCTCACGCTTACCACCTCACGCCTCTTTCTCTATACCTTTAATCCTACCCTTTAAATCCCTCCTCACCCCCATCCCTTGTGAGCTACTGTTGAGGTGTCGCTCGCTGAAGCAGACAGTTACGGGGCTCACTTTTTTTCCCTTCTCAGGACCACTTAGAATTCGATTGCTTAACAAGATTAACAGCAGAACCATGGCTTGTCAATGGCAACAGCTATCGTTTGCAGAGGATTTTCGACACGCCTTCATATTTCAATGAAATGTGAGAGGCCTGAGGTCCCGCATATCGGATTTCCGACAGTTCATGTTTAAAAACCTCTTCCCGATAATGCTAATTTGTGAGCCGAACTCATCGGCTATAAGAATATCAGGATACGAGTCTTTCGCTTCAACCATGAATTGAAGAAGCAGCAAAGTTATTACTTACATTCGCAAGCACCTTACTTATTCTATACCGTCCGGTGACGAGAACCAGTACGTGTGCATTACTCTGAAGAAGGAGCGGTTGTCTTTTATACTTATTGGTGTATATATATATATATCCCCTGCAAGTCCATTTGATTGTAGGAGAATAACAGACATTATGGCAGCTATTCCAGGTCCTTGCATTATAACAGGCGATTTCAAAGCACATCAAACGATATGGGGAAGCTTGAGGATAAACTCGAAGGGGCGCTCAATGATATCGTTTGTGTGAGACCACAACCTTCGCCTTCTGATTAATGGTAGCCCAGCATACCTGCGAGGAACGACGTACCGCAGGTGCCTCCACCTGACGCTGGTGTCGTGTTGTCTAAGTTCAAAAGTGCGGTGATTTACAGATATCGAAACCCATGGTAGCGATCACATTCCGACTTATGTCAGCATTGATGGCCAAGAGACTTCGTCCTCGCCGGTCAACCGGTACATAGAGTGAAAACTTTATGAAAATCAAGTGGAGGACACGTGCAGAAATTATTCCTCGTGCGGGTAAGAAGAAGTAACATCAGATGCAATGAAAAATTGTACGCGATGCTTCACACACTCACAGAAGTGCGCGGAACTTTACATCGAATTAGAAAGGCTTCGGGCGTTACGTAGACGTGCCGAGAGAAGATACAGGCGTACCAAGTCGATTCTTGATCGCAGAATAGCAAGGTGTATGCAGAAAAAAAATACAACACCGAATAGATAAGCTGCCGGTCAAAGATGGAAAAGTTTTTGCGAATCATTAGACCAACGCAAGCCATTGTCCCATGTATGGAGAACTCTACAGGGTCTTCGCTCAGGCGCCTTGCAACGTCGTCCCTTCAAGGCTCTCGCACTTCGTCTGAACCACCGTGAAATGGACGTTGCAGAAGATTTTTGCGTGAACATCAACGGTGGGACAGTCCTATTCTCCGATATGCTTTTATGCGATATCCCCGGTCTACGAGATATAAGTATGGGTGCTCCATTTTCTATGGAAGAGCTAGAAGCTGCACCGACACTGTGTAGGTGTTCTTCATCAGGGCCCGATGGGATAACGTATACGGCTCTGCGTCACTTAAACCAAGTAGCTAGGCGACAACTGCTAAATTTATTTAATCGGTCATGGGAAGATGACATCGTGCCTCAAGAATGGAAACGCAGCCGTCTTGTGCCACTTCTAAAAGCAGGAAAATACCCTCTGGTGCTGACATCACACCGGCCTATAGCTATCGCCAGCTGTGTTGGGAAACTCATGGAGCGCATGATTCTCACGCGCCTGGAACGGTTCCTTTCACGGCACAACATTAACCTCGACTTCTTGGCGGGATTTTGACAAGGTCGTTCATCATTGACGTCGTCGATTTGGTGTCATCAGTAGAACTGCAGAAATTTAGGAAACGACTAGCACTTGCGCTCTTTCTTGATGTGAAAGGTGCATATGACGTTTCCCATCAAGCTATACTAGACAGACTGCTGTTAATTGAACTGGGAGGGCAATGTTTCGATGGATCCGAAGCTACCTGACACGAAGATCCCTTTTTGTATATACTGAAAACAGCCTGACCTCAGACCACTACGCATGCTGTGTCGTCCCGCAAGGAGGTGTTTTAGGCCAGTTCTTTTCAATCTAACCTTGCTTGCCTGGCTGAAGCCCTCCCGGGAACAGTCAGTGTTTCAATATAAGCTGATGGTATCTGTGTCTGGGCATCAGCATTGAAACGTCCACAAGTTCGAGCAAGAATACAGAGGGCAGCGTCGCAAGCATCTGACTATCTTCGCACGCAAGGTCTAACAATCTCAGCAGAAAAATGTGCACTGGTAGCCTTCACGGCCGGGCAAGGCGATGACAAGTTGCCCGATAAGCATTAACCATTTGTAGGGCAGGATATGTTTAAAAAAAAACAGAAAAAGGTTGTCTTCTTTTACTAACCAAGCTAACATAAGTAGCTTGAAAGAACTTTCAAGGCTGTACAACGAGTACTTTATTAAAAAACTGGGACACATTTGTCCCACTGGCGCTAAATTAAAATTAAAAAAATGGGACGCATTTGTCCCAATGCCCCTTGAGGGCTCCGAGGTTACATTCGGCCGGCATGAAAAGGACCAAAACATGTTGAACAAAGGGGCACATTGCACACAGAAGGTTGGTGCGCGCTTCTTTCTTGGCAGTCGAGCACCAACGACACCGCATCCTTTTTGCAATCTTCTGAGGGTGATGTCCAGCTCCCAGAAATCGGACTTCATCAGCAACGCCTACCATTTTCTGGCCATGTTGGCACCTTTTTTGTTGACTCGATACGGGCGGTTGCTGGACCCTTTGAACGTTTGCCCGTTTATCAGCTGGCGACCAAGGACGGGCCGGAACCAAAGGTAGCTCATTTCACTGACTGCTTTCATCTGAAGAAAAGCATTTGCTATTGCTGCTTTCTTGCCATCTGCCGTACCCTTCTTCACCTTTCTTTTTTTTCCTTGGTTAGGTCGGTGAGGTGCAAACAGTTTATAATGGCTTGAAAACGACGGAACGGCATAACCTTTGATATTTCAGGACAATTGAAAAAAACTGTCACTGCTTCAGTACAGGTACATTTGATGTCTGGGGTTTGAGCTCATCTGCAGAAGTATGCCAAAGTATGCACGGAGTTCATCAATTGTAAGCTCTTTCCAAAGCTGTCGGCCTTTCTGTTTGGCAAAGCGGTTTGTCTCAGTCACCAGTGTGATCATGATACTTTCGTCAAAATAAAGAGCAAAAGCTTCACAAGGCGTCGTCGGGAGATTTGCACTGTATTGTGGGTCCCAAATTTTTGGAACACGAATGACGCCATCCGGTTCGCTGCTATTCCATGCCCCAACCTCCTCCTCTTCGACTTCTGCTTCGTCGTAATTCTAGGCACTTTCTTTTGCTTCCTTTTCTTTCTTGAATAGGTAGCCTTTCGCTTTTGTGGTTTCCTCGTTGATTCCGCCGATTCGGCTTCACTGCTTTGCTCATTTGAATCGGGCGGAGCGAGCTCGGGTGCGAAGTCTTCATCCGCATCTCTGTCGGAATCACTCGACGTAGGGTCGTCAGGAAGGCTAAAATATATTTCCAGCGCTTCCTTTCGCATCAGCAATCGTTTACCTGCGTTTTTACAAGCAAACAGAAAACAAAAGAGTCGGTGAAATGTTTCACTACACATCAAATGCAGGCAGCGGTGGCAGTAGGCTTCTCCCATCGTCATGCAATTTTTGCCTTGGCACCATTCGAAAAAGCTTTTAGGAGTAAATATTGCACCTATTGCTGAAAACACCCAATTATTACAAGCTGGAACTATTTCTTTTGAAGCACAGAAAAGGTACACTCACTTGTCATCTTGAATTATTCTTTGCCGGAGACTCACAATGCGGAAATTTGTGCCGCCGGTAAAACAAAAAACGCAATTTTGAAAATAATCTATACCTTACGCCATCTATTGTACAGCTTTCAAACGAGATTCAACGGAAGTGTAAAAGCCTCAATGTAGATGGCAGCACAAAAAAATAGGCTTGATGCGTCCCATTGTTTTTTACGAGCAATTCTGTGGGGAACGAAAAATGGACAGATATTTCCCGTTGCCCTACAAGGGGTTAATGACCAGCCCATCTCTTACAAGCGTAGCCATCGTTTCCTACAACGTTTCTAGACTAGGTAAGTTGCAAAACTTCCCGCGCCAGACTACTCGGCACACGGCGCCGGGACAGCTTCCAGTTTGGTGGCACTGGCGGCGCAACAAGCTTCCGCTAGCAGACGAAAACGCGTAGTCGTCGTGGCAAGACGCCGAGGCGGCCGTTCTGAAAGAGCTTTGCCAACAGTATATTATCGAGATTTGTTGTGCTGCCGCAGAAACTTAATACTGCGTAATATTTAGAGGTGTAAGGCAAATATAGTATAATTATGGCTTTCTGAACAGCCCATAATATACAATGCTTGATATATATAGCATAACATACACGAGTCTTTCGTTAGTTGCTAGTTGGTGTACGTCCGCAATAGATTTTTAGACGCAAAAAACCCAATTACAGTGTCTGCATCGTCTCTTGTGGCTGTGTTTTTCGTGCTTGAAAATAAATTACAACTATGTGGCACAATTTCGTGGCTTTTCTCTGGTTATGTAAACAGCTTTTTTTTTTTTCATGTCAGTCACATTCTTTAGCAACTTCGACAGTCGAAAAGCAACGCTTGCGGCCATTATCTTAAGAATGTCTTCCCTCTGCTTCTTCTTGAATTCCTCTAATGAAACCTGTTACACAGCTGCAGCCAAAGCTTCGAGCAGAGACCGCACTTTGGGGTATCGGTGAGCACTTCGTAGTCATCACTCACGAGTCTGCCTGCTGACGCACTGGGACATCATGAACACACTTTCAGCTTTCCTATGTCCCCCAGAAGTTCGGCCAATGGGTGATGGTATCTGCATTGCCGGGCGACTTCGCCAAGCGATGGTGACGGCTGCTAATGGTGACTGTCATGTCTTTTGCGACGACAACACATTTTTCCACAAATGGTGCTTTTGTTTGAGCTCTAGAAACACCGCAAGACGACTTGTCTTGTCTTGCCATTTTCAACAACTTTCCACCAGCATGCAGCTGGCAAACAAACGTTTTCTATGTCTTGAAGCGAAATGACGCCACTAGTTGACAGCATGTCGAGACTTATTTCACTGTCTTCGAACTCAGTTCTCGGAGATAGTCGATTCTTTTTCGCCGATGATATTCAGGAAAATACCCCACTCCTATCGGGCAGCTTTCGCTTCTTTGTCGCGGGCCCCGCGAAGAAGGTAAGCGGGCAAATTCGGGAACATTCAGGGAACGCATCCTTCGACGAGGTTCCACTTTCCTCTGGCAATTTGTACCTTCTTGCCATATGACGTGAGTAAAAGTCTTCAGGATGTCCTTCTCATGAAAGTGCATATCACACACACGTGAGGTGCTAGGCAGTTTCTTATCCGCACGAGGAATAGCGTGGTCCCATACCTCTCGCTGCTCAGGTACACGTGGGTACAAAAGAAATGTTGTGGTATCTCTCATTTCCTGTAGCTACTCTACAGCCGAGAACGCAACATCTGGGCATGATGAAAACACGCGACACATACAAAGCAGAACAGGGCACGCTGAAGCACAAAAATGTTCACGCAGAAAGAAGCCTCCACAGATATCGACGCGCTGCAACATGCACCGGCGATGGAGGTTACGGGAATGACACGAGCGAGCATGCAGTGAGTGAACCCGGATGCGACAGCAGCGCCACATTTGTCGCTGGCAGCGGCGGCGCCGCGCAACGCCACTCAGTTTTGCAACTTACCTAGTTCTAGAAACGTTGGTTTTCTAGGTGTAATTGTTGACCGTGACCTCTCCTGGAGCCCTCACGTGACTAGCTTGAAAGCTAAACCAGGCCCCGGAAACTCTCAAGTTCAAGTGCTCACCTGTAGGGGGCAAAAAAATCACCGCGGCGCGTTTTTGGTTCAAACACCCAGAGTGGACTTACTAACCTCTCTCGCCACTCGCGCTATTGCACTTTTTTTGTAGAGGCGCCTTCATCGGGTCCAAGTTTTATTTTAAAATGATCAAATACTACAAGTTTGCGTACCGCTACACATAAAAAACATTTTGTTTTTCTAGCAAGTAGATTTTGTTAAACATGTGCTGCGTCATAAAGTTTTTGTAATAATTTTTGATCCAGCTGACTCGATGTCAGCAGCAGCCTATCGACATCATTATCCTCATTTCAAAGTTTGCGCAACTGTGTTCTGTGGCTAAACTGGTATCTATTGCCATGTCCCGGAAGTTATCGCTGGAAAAAGGTGGGGCCCGTCATTGAGTTCCATGCTACAGCTATACCAAGCACTTTTTATTGGTGTACTGCACTACAGTTCTCCTCTGCTTACTTAAACTTGCAAGTCAAACATTCGAGCACTTCAGAGCGTGCAAGCACCGGCACAACGTGTTTGTCTCGTCTTACCACGAACTACCTCAACCGCAGGAACAGCTATATTGGCTCGGGATCGTCCGGTTACAACCTACGTCATAACCGACGTGCTGAGAGCACATATTCGGCACATTTCACGCATGGTATTGAGCCATTTGGCGTGTTTGCCAGAACAACGGCCGCAGGCGTCGTTCTCTAAGGTCGTCAGCTCCCACCGCGCTTTGCTACAATCCAGTTTTATACCCTTGGTGCGTTCACCGTCCGCCTTGTGGAGCCTACGACAACCCGACGTGCGCTTTGCTGTCCCAATAAAAAGAAATAGAAAAGCCACTTCTACCTTGACCTTGAGAAAGCAGCACTGGACTGTTTACACTCCTCCTACGCTGACAGAATCTACGTATACACGGATGGATCTACCACCCAGACTAGCTCCACCGGCGCCACCGTCATCCCATCGCGACACATCAACGTCACGTACAAACTTTGTCACGTGAGCACATCAACTGATTCGGAAATTGTTGCCCTGCAGGGTGCCATCGATTATATCGAGCAACAACCGGCTAATCGTTGGGCAGTATTCTGCGACTCCAAGGCGGCTCTACAATGTCTTTCGTTGGCACTTCGTCGCGGGTCGTACGAACAACTGGTGTGTGAGATCAGAGAAATGCTGCAGTATGCGACCGAACAAGGACACAACGTTGTGTTTCAGTGGATACCAAGTCATTGCGGTATCTCCGGCAACGACCTCGCTGATGAAGCAGCCAGAAAGGCACATGTACAAACAAACCCTGTTTCCATACCTTTATCTAGGATTGACTTGGCTAGACCCAAAGTAAGCTGGCGCAGAACATGACACTCCAGAAGTGGCAGTCATCACAGTTAGCACATCATCGACTGTATTCTCTCGACCCATCTCTACGACTCCGGCTACCCTCTGGCCTTTCTACGAAGGAAGGTAGAGTGTTGTGCCATCTACGTTTGGACGTAGCCTTCAGCAATGCCTACTCATTTAAGATTGGGATGGCCGACAGCGCGGTGTGCAACGACTGCGCTGTCGATGAGACTATTGAACAATTCTTATGTCACTGCCCGGCATACACAACCGAGAAGCTTCACCTGCGCAGTGTCTTAAATCAACTGGACAGAAGTGATTTCAGTGTCGAGAAAGTATTGGTATCATGGCACTACCCATCCCAATTCCGAAAGGCAACAAAAGCGCTGTTGCGTTTTCTCAAATACACTGGCCTGTTTCATCATTTGGGAATAAAAACTGTTACGCGTTGGCCCAGTCAGCGACCTTTTTTCTTCTCCTCTATAACTTTCCTTCCCCCTCTCCCCTTCCCAAGTGCAGGGTAGCCTACCGGGGCTCAGCCCTGGTTAACCTCCCTGCCTTTTTTCTTATGTTCTCTCTCTCTCTGTACAGGATAGAGCCAGGTGATGTGCTGGCCGATAAAGGCTTTGCTGGCATAAAGGCACCCGTGGAAGGTAACAAAGGTGTCGTAGTCCTGCCTCTTTTCTCCAAAGGAAACATGCAATTTACATTCGATGAGCTCCAGGAAACTTATCACAGTGCCAAAATTCGGATTCATGTAAAGAGAGTTATTCAGCGTATCAAAATGTTTAATATTGTTAATTTTCGTGTGCCTAATGAGCTTATTCCTCTCATGAGTGACATCATGCACTTGTGCTGCATACTGGTCAATATTCAACCTCCTATTATTAACAGCTCTCATCAGCAGAATTAAGACAGGTGTGAACATTGTATTTGCTGTACATTACTTGGGATGCTATGGTTGTATTGATCTTTTTTTTTCTACAATATTTTTGGGCCCTAGTTGTATTATCATTGGCATTAGTGGTCTTGATCTATTCTTTTCTGTTCATGTGTTTGTGCACGTGCCTTATGTTATCATTATTCTGTGCCATCTAGACCATTGCAATCATTTTTATGGTTATGGTTTTTCCATCCACGTTCAGGGTATGGTGTACCTTAAGGGAGTTTCAACCAATTTTTATGGGGCTTGTTTTTTTCAGTGCAGAGAAAATCCCACCAAGAGCGTAAAGTTATGGAATGGTATTGTGGAAAGCGTTTGTACTAACAATTTTTGTTTATATTTGCAGTGACTGTGTAGTCCAATGCAAAACACACGCTGTAAGCTTTACATTACTTGGAATGCTATGGTTGTATTGATCTGATCTCTTCTATTGTCCACTTGTTTTTGGGCCTACCTTCTTTTATCATCGGCGTTAGTGCTTTCTTGATCTCTTGCTTGACGTTCATGTTTGTGTGTACGTGCCTTACGTTATGAATCTGTGCCAACTAGCACAATATAATATTTTTTGTGGTTTGATGTCCCAAAGCCACAATATGATTATGAGCTGCAGCGGTGGGCACCGGAAATTTCAACCGCCTGGTGTTCATTAACGTGTACCTGGATCTAAGCATACGGGCTTCACTAACTCAACTTTGTGTTTGTTCGTGGACTAAAGCGTTTGCCTTATCAAGAAACCCAGTCTACAGTCAGGGTAGCGTACCCTAAAGGAAATTGCGACCAATTTTTGTGGGGCCTGTTTTCTTTAGTGCAGAGCAAAGCTCAACAATAAGAGTGTAAAATCATTGGATGGTAACGTGGAAAGCGTTTGTATTCTCAATGTTTGTTTATATTTGCAGTTACTGTGTAGTCATACACAAAACACATGCTGTAAACAACGGGAGAGGAGTGCAATAGCAGATAGTAACGTGAAAAACATTTGCAGTTACTCTGTAGTCATACACAAAACACATGCTGTAACAACGGGAGAGGAGTGCGACAGCATATAGTGTTTGTAATTTACAGTTAGCTACACATATGCTGTGGTGCGACATATTCTACTATTGCTGTGACTAGATAAGGTACACTTTAGTAGCAATCTAGTTTTCAGTACCAACGTATATGCTATAGGCGTTCACAGAGCATTAAGAAAAAAATCAACGCACAGAAGAATAAAGTTTCTAAATACCTATATATAATAAAATGTTTGTGTTTTTGTCTCGCATAAAAAGCAGTTTTCGGTCTGGTTATTGCAACATTACACAAGTGTTACTTCACATTTGTGCTCCCTATCCCTACTGACAAACTTCTGATACACAAACGCGTCACTGAATTGATATGGCTGATACTTGTTACTTTGAAAGAATAAAAACACTTCAGTTATTTTGGACCTCACCTTCTACTTGACTCAAATTAATTTGTGAGACCAAAAGATATTTCCCCCAAGCTTCCTTCAGATCAAATGCAAATAAAGCCAGCCTAGCTGAAGGATGTAGCTAATACTACGATGCATGCAAGCGCACAAGAATAGTCACTAGCAGCTAGATGGTCAGAACTCGTTAACCACTATGTTCCAGCTTGCGCCGCGTTACTTGGAGAGATTGACCATTTACTTTTACGTCATTATTCATTAAGCTGACATGTAAAGTTAATGACAAACAGGGCACTATCTAATATGTAAGTATCCCACAGCCACAGTTGAACAAATAAAGACTACATCTGAAATACATGCACACAAATCCTTACTTCAGCAAGGCCTTTAAGGCCTTTTTAGAAGAGTGGTAAAAGTTACGGACACAGTAACAGAAAAACAAAGATGCACAACACAGGTACCCAACTTCAAATGTATCTTTATTGTTTTGCAGGTCATATTTATCACATCCTTTGCAAACAGCTGTACATAATTTTATGCATGCTTTACACCACCGAGGAAGTTAACAATATATGCACACACTATGTCACATTAGAAGTAGTTTTTCTTTTGAAGGACTAAGGTGTGGTCACAGACTTAGTTTGAATATGAATCAGTGTTATCTGTTCGCCTGAGGTGGGACGAAAATTAGGGACACATAGAAAAATAAATTAGGTGGCTGGCTTTTCGTTTTGGAATATGTGGTTGTGAACTGTTTGGAAATGCTTTGTCGAGACAAAATATAGATATGACCTCACAACCCTATCTTATTCTTATCATTGTTTTGACGTTTGGCCGCACGCAATATACGCTCGGCCTCTCTACAGATTAGGCCTTTGGCGATGTTTCGTACCACCTGTCTAGAGTCACTCAGCACTGTGTTTCTCGATTACCATGCCAAGAATCCTGATTTTACTAACTTCGGGGATCACGTAACCAGACTTGGTAACGATTCGGATTTTTCGAATTCGCGTTGTCTGGTTTTGCCTCTGCCGTTATTGGCCGGTGGGAGTACTAGGCTGTGTCGTCGATGGCGAGGGCGATGGCCACTTCCTCCACTTGTTCCACTCTGGAATTTTTCACGCTCGCTGCCATCCTTGTTGCGCTAGTCGACGACTCAATGGGACGACCACTTCGAATGCCTTCCGTTGGTACTGCGCCGCGTCAACGTACCTCGTGTGTGCGTCGTTGGCATGCACGTTGATGATAATCCTGGCCCTCGCCACCCTTCTTCCCTTGTTGTACCTGGGATCCATGTTCTACGGAATGGGGTTGGTTCTAATCTGGCGTCGGACCTCTTCGAGGACAGGAAGCTTCATCTCTGCTTCGCTCAGGCATCCTATTTCTATATCCTCCAGTATCTTTTTACAGAACTCCGTTGTGGACAGCCACTCCAGTTGAGTGATTCGTTGCGCTTCGGCTATTTCTTCGAGCGTGTTGTGTATCCCGAATTGTAAGAGGTGGGTCGTGCTCGCGGACCCGAACAGACCCAGCGCCATCTTGTACACTCTTGTGATGATGGCGTTGATTTTGTTGCGTTCGTGTTGCACCCATCTGTGGAAGGTGGCAACATACGCGACGTGACTGATGATTGAGGATTGTATGAGCCTGATCAGGCTCTCCTCTCTCACGCCTGCCCTCCGGGACGCGACTCGTTTTGAGGAGTCACGTCGCGTTGGCTGCCTTAGCCGTGATATGGGCGATAGTGTCGCCATTTCTTCTGTGTTTCTCGATTACCATGCCAAGAATCCTGATTTTACTAACTTCGGGGATCACGTAACCAGACTTGGTAACGATTCGGATTTTTCGTATTCGCGTTGTCTGGTTTTGCCTCTGCCGTTATTGGCCGGTGGGAGTACTAGCAGCTTCGATTCGCTAGGTGAAAATCTTGGTCCGGTGCCTTCCAGCTGACCTATCGCGTCTATGGCGGCTTGCAGCGCGCCCTCGATGTTGGCGTCGTTGACACCAGTCACTCATAGCGTGATATTATCTGCTTAGATGGTGTGCCTAGCGTGTTAGATATCCGCGAGCTTCTCTGCCACCCAGAGTATTACCAGGTTGAACAGCATCGGCGAGATTACCGACCCCTGCGGTGTGCCAGTGCTCCCAAAATTCTTCTCCTGCGTCTGTAGGTCGCCTGCGCGCAGCTTGGTGGTTCTGCGAGGAAGTCCTTAATATAGTAGCAAGGTATTTCCCTCATGTTGAGTTTGGAGACTTGAGACAGGATCACCGAGTGTTTCACCTTGTCGAAGGCGCTCTGCAGGTCGAGCCCCACGATTCTCTTGTTATCGCGGGCGCTGCCGCCACCATCGCTGATTTGGTATTTGAGCTGCACCATCGCGTCTTGCGTGATCAAGTGTTGTCTGAAGCCGATTACTGTTGCCGGATACATCCCTTCTCTTTCCAGGTAGCCTTGCCACCTGTTGAGAAGGACGTGCTCCAGCCCCTTGCCCACGCAGGATGTGAGCGAGATGGGCCAAAGGTTGCCCGTATCAGGTGGCTTGCACGGCTTGGGAATCAGAATGGTCTTGGCGCCCTCTCTTCAGCACTTTTTGAAGTAATTTGCTAGGTTCTCGGTCAATCTGTCCTCAAGGTTCTTGAGCGCCTTGTTCATGACGAGATCTGGTCCAGCCGCCGACAGGCTTTTGAGGTCATGCAGGACCGCGTGGACTTCCTTGACGTCGATATCACTATCCAGCTTCGCGTAGGGTAGGCCGCCGTACGGCACATGTTGCTCAGTGGGTGTACTTGGCAGGTATTTGTCGTTGATGTGTCTTATGGCTTCATGGGCGCCGTGTGCCAAGACTGCACGATGTATGAGCTTGCCGAGCCTGTCGTTTTGGTGCTATTTGGCCTTGATTTCGTCTAGCAGGTGCTGCAGCAGGTTCCACGTCTTCTCGCTGTGCATCTGCCCATCTGCTGTGTTGCAGATACCGTTCTAATGTTGCGCACATAGCGCTCAGCAGTGATCTTCAATCGCACGGTTGAGCTCTGCTACCTTCTTTTTCAGCCAACGGTTTAGCCGCTGTTTTTTCCATCGATTGAGTATCGACTGTTTGGCTTCGGTTAAATGCGCTAGCCGGCTGTCTACTTTGTTGATCTCCGCGTTCGTTTCAATTTCTTTGGTCGCGTCGCGTACACTCTTGGTGATTCCAGCCTTCCACGAGTCGATGTCTTCGATCTCGTAGCCATCATCCCTCTTCTGGTTTCTGGTGTCTCGGAAGGCATCCCAGTTTATTCATTTGTGTGTTCTGTTTCTGGTGCCGTGTTCTGGTATGCCAATTTTCACGATGGTGTGGTTGCTAGCGAGGTCAGCCCCCGTGTTTCTCCACGTGATCGCACCTCGAACATCATTCTGGACGAACATGAGGTCCCGAGTGGTGTCGCGGGACACGGATTTGCCGATTCTCGTCGGATGCGTCGGATCTGTGATGCGGGTAAAGTCGAGTTCCTTGGCGTCTTTGTACAGGTCACAGCCCTTTGCTCTGTACTCATTGTAGCCCCAGGCGGGGTTCATGGCGTT